AATAATCCATTATACGGCTGGATCACACCCATCAGTTGATGGATATCTAGGTTGTTTTTATTTTTGGTCATTAAGAAAAAAGCTTTAGGGCTTTCCTGGTGACACAAGGGGTTAAGTCACAGCACTGTGAAGCTGTCTGCAGCCACTGCAGCACAAGTTCAATCCCCAGCCAGGGAGCTGACCCACATGGTGCAGCAGACCTTTCCTGTCTCCCTGCTGCTCCCCTCAACAGTGTACTTCAATAAACCCGCCTGTTCTGCTCACTACGCTGTCTCTGGTGAATCCTCTCATACACGCCCCACCCCCCGCACTTCTGGCTTGTACCCCAGTTCTTGTATAAATAAGTAATCTTTAAAAAAAAAAAGAATTATGCTTTATGACCATTCATGAAGATGTTTTTGTGTGGATATGTGTTTCCCATTCACTGGAGGATAAACCCAAAAGGGAATTGGCAAAGCTATGGTAACTCTGTGCTTAACATCTGAGAACTTATCAAGCTGTTTCCAAATCAGCTACCCCATTTTATATTCTCACCAACAGTGTATAAGAGTTCCAACTTCTCCACATCCTTGACAACATTTGTTATTTTCTGTTTTCTCGATAGTAACCATCTTAACGAGTGTGAGGTGGTATCTCATTGTGGTTTGGGTTTGCATTTCTTTTAATGAATACTCATGTGGAGTATCTTTCCACATGCTTGGGGTCCATTTGTATGTGCTCTGTGGAGAAATGTTTGTTCAAGTCTTCTGCCCATTTTTAATCATGTTGTTGGGCTTTCCATTCCTTATGGATTCTGGATTCTAGCCCCTCATCCGATGTACAATATGCAATTCTTTTTTTCATTCTGTAGGTTGTATTTTCACTCTTTAAAGTATCGTGGAAGCATGAAAGTGTCTGTGCCTCACTACCTTGAATGCCATTGCTCTGTAGTAAGTTGTGAAGTTGGGATGTATGAGTCCTCCAACTTTGTTCTTTTTTCCCAGATTGTTTTGGCTATCCTGAGTCTCTTGCAATTTCATGTGAACTTTAGGATCAGTTTCTACAAGAAAGTCAACTGGGATTTTGATGACGATTGTGTTAAGTCTATATATCAATTTGGAGAGTTTTGTTATTATAGTATTAAGGCTTCAAACCAGTGAAGGTTACAGATGTCCTACTTTCCTTCAGTGACAGTTTGTAGTTTCCAGTGTACAAAGATTATTCTTTTATTAAATTCATTCCTAAGAATTTTACTTTTTGATGCTACAGTAGACAGGACTGTTTTCTCAATTTCATTTTTGGATTGTTCGTTGTGAGTGTACAGAAAGATGGTTCTATGGGTTCCTTGTAATTCACCATATACAAGATCATGTCATCTGCAAATAAAGACCTTTTTATTCCTTCCTTTTCTAGCTGGGACCGATTTTCTCACCTAATTGTTCTCACTGTATTATCTTCTAGTATTTCCATCTAAGGGAGCTCCTTGAGACAGGGAATTTGTCCTACTTATCTCATCACATCCCTGGGCTTTTGTGCAGGACTTGATCACTAGTGAATCTCTGATATAGGAATGTAGGAATGTAAGAGTAAGAACTTCACTTAAAAATATGAAGGTTTTTATTTTTTAATATCCTCACCAAATGTCATGTGCTTTTTGATGTAATAAGATATGAAGAACTGAATCTCCCCTATCAAGTATTCTGGCCCCAAAAATTGATTCAAGCTAACTCCTAACTTACAGGAGATACAGGGAACACATGTACAAGTGAAATGACCCCACAAGAGAACAGACAAATTCAGAATGTAGAACATTCTACGGGACAAATTGTTGGCTTCTCCAACAAGTCAATGACATGGAAAAAAGAGGTATATAATTATTCTAAATTAAAAGATACCTACGAGAGAACTGTAGGAGACTCTATTATTTGCTTAAAAGTGTACCCCCCATGCCCTGTGGCTGACCCTTTCCAATCAGGACCCTTCCTGGGAACAGACTGTATTTCCGGCACACTTAATACAGGATAAGCAAAGTAGAGGTGAGAAGAAGTGACCTGAACAAAGCTGGAGCTTGAAAAGCTTTTACGTTGTTCTCCATCTCTTTTCCAGGATATGGGTTATTCCTTCCACCTGGGTTCAAGGTTAAAGAACTAGAACCAATCCATGATGGATATGGAGCCAAAAAAGAAAGTTCTGTGGTTGGAAGCCACTAAGATTTGGGGGCCATTTGTTTAGACAGCATAAGGTAACATACACTGACTAACATGACCACCACTATCAGACACTGACATGAAATTATAGGTGTGCCAGAAAAGGCCCATTGTTTGTAGAAATGCATGACCTCACCACAGCCTCAGTAGGATGGTAGGGATGGACGGAAGGAATAGAATGCCCATGGTGGGCAAAATTCTAAGATGGCCCCCAGGATTCACACCTGGTAAACTCACTCTGAATAGGCCCCTCTCTGAGCACAGGCAAGCCCTGGGAATATGGTGGGCTATCACTAGCATGCAGGCTCATTATGATACTCCACCTACCTGTGTGAGCTTTGAAATTTTTCATGATAAAAAATGTTAAAGGCTGCTGCGATTTCCTTCAGGTCAGGGACACTGACAGTTCTCGTCATCTCTGTGTCTCCAGAGACTGGCTCAGCACCTGGCAGGTAGCAGGTGCGCCATAAACAGCTGTTAGACCAATCCACTGAGAAATGGACAGGTTAGAGTCTGTAAATTCACAACCTCTGCGCAGTCAGCAGCATCGAGACCCTTCTACAGATGCAGGAACTGAGGTCCAGCAGCTTCTAACTCAGTTGGGCGGCAAGTAATTGAGAGTAGGGTCAGGTCTTGCAATTCCCAACCCAGCACCCGCTTGTCCAGCTTTTCAGTATAATACCTGCCAGCTGGGTTTTCTTTGGGATTTAGAGAGCTGCTGTTCCATCCTGGTTTATCAGGAGAATTTACGTGCACGCCACAGTCGTATTGAGACATCCGTTAGAAAATCCAGGCAGGCAGGTTAAATGTTAATTTCCTTTCTACTGTACCATTGTCTGACCTCCTCCCATGAATCACAGTGAGTAAAAGGTTCTTCACTTACTGACATAAAACAAATTGAACAAATTACGTTACTTAACTGAGGAAGAACTAGTCACGCCATTGATTCTGGCCCAGCCTGAGCCAAGCTTTTTCTCCTTATTAACATTCACTTGCAAATGAGGTTGGGATTTTCCCATGTGACAGTGCATTGGTCTCATTAGCATATTCATTAGCTTGTCATTAGCATAGCATCACATGGGTGGTCCTCTTCCTAGGCACTGCTCCAGGGAACACCTGCCTGATACCTGCTTCTTAGCAGGCTATGAATCACAATGGGGACCAGATCATGAATCAGAGCTGTAGGAGGAAGGCCTCGCTAATGATGATATCAGTAACTTCAGAGTGCAGAGGGCTAGAGCGATTAAGAGCCGTCCAGGTGCTATATGACTAGCTCAGCCTGCTGCATATTTCTCTCTTGAAAACTGCTGATCACAGAGAGCGGGGATTTTAAGCTCTCACCATGCCGAGAGTTAGGAGCAAAAATCCTCCAATTTAAAGATCCCTTAAGAGAAGGTCCTGGGGAAGCCCTGTCTCTGAACCCTGTCTCCACCTGCACAGACACACGCGGTGGTTGGTCATAGCTGGAGGGGAGCTGGAGGGGTAACCACGCGCCATGTGCTTGGGACTGGGGCCAGAACATGGACCCCCAGTTTGGAGCAGGAGCTGGAGAACCAACAGCCCAAGGGCAGTTGCCCTCCGCCCGCTCACTCACTCAGTCAGATAGGGGCCCCTGACTCCCCTCTCTCAACCTTTCTTTTTTCTGCAAAATGAGGGTTCCAATAACCCACCCTTTGTAGGGTTCAATCTGATAATGCATAGAAAGTCATACTGGAGGGAAGCAGAAAGCTCGTGGGCACACGGGCCAGCAGAGGCCAGTGCCGGGCCGTATGCACCCCCACAGCCCGCTGCTCATGGGCGCCCGCGGCTGGACAAGTATTAGCCCCATTTCACAGGTGCGGAAGCTGGAGCTCACAGGACGCACACAGCGCGAGAACCGGAGCCCAGACCGCCTGTCTCTAAGGCCCACGGATATTTTCTCCCTGTGACACGCGGTCTCAGGAACATGCTGTCCCAGGAGGAATGGATTTCTGCAGGAGTGTCAGGGAGCTAACAAATGACAGCGCCAGTTCCCGTCACTAACTTGCTCCCTCAGCCTTTCACAACTCTGCATGACCTGAGGAACAATCAAAGGAGAAGAACTTAAAAGCCACTTTAAATTTCAGACCAATTCAATTTTGGAATATCGCTCGTGAGGTGTAGCTTCTAGACGAAATTTCTAAATGACTCAGACTCTTCTTTGTCCATTTCAGGGGAAAATGAATGTTGCTGCTAACATTTGACATCAATCGCCCAATCACATGTTGTCACATCATTACTCAGCTCTGCGACAAAGGCAGAGAGAGGCTGCGGCTGAAATGGTGCTATTGGGTGAGGAACCAATTCAAGGACCCTGACCATGAGGGAATTAGGGCGCAAAATGAAATTTGGCTAAAGAAGCTCTGGGTAATGGGTCATGTTAAGAGGAGATGGAATAAGAAGTGTGTGCTTTATCAGGATGGCGACTTAGCTCACATACAAATTATTTTAGTCCTATCTATATAGTCATTCACTTCCAGGTGCCCGGGCTGGGCCTGTCATGGGAGGTGACCGGCCACCGGGGCAGAAATGGTGAGCCGCCCACTCCTGAAGCCCACAGGCTGCCCGGAGCAGCCTGCAGCTTTGAAATCGGGCCCCCGCTCTCTGTGCTCACGTGTCCGTGAGGAACTATTTTTCTACCACCAAGAGGAAGGAAAGGAATTCTCCAAATCTCCCCCAAGCCCAGCCCCCTGTGCGGGTGTGTGAAAGCTGGTGACCAGAGCAGAACTGGACCATAGGCCAGTGGTTTTTGTGGCTGCTGCATCCACCATTTTGCCCATAAGTGGCTTATTTGCACAGTCCCATTTCCCTGGGGTCTAATTTTAAGATGGTACCCTGGGGTGGACATGGGTGACATGGGCCAGGAAAGAGCAGCATCAAGGATCGTGACAGTCACAGAAGAAAGCCGTCCGTCGGTCCTTCCTTCCTCGGGCCCTAAGGAGGAACACGGAGGACACAGGGCTTTTAAGCCGCCAAGAAACCCTGAACACTTGCCTTCCTCCCGGGTCCCCGGATGCAAGGATGGAGGTGACAAAGGTGGCTGGGGTGGTCCCACCCTGTCTCCAGGACTAGATGTTTATGGCCATCCCTTGAGTATAAGGCACGTTCAATATTACTGATGGCCAAGGCGGCAACCCCAGAGAGCAGGACCTCGGCATGAGCTGAGACTTCTTGCCTCTCTTCTCACTGGCATATACCCCCTCACTCCTTAAGCTGCATTTTCCTAGCTGCCATCTTGACAGATAATACAGAACCCCTGAAAGTGAGCAGCAGCCGCGTGAGGGAGCAGTGGCTGCGAAAGCAGCAGAGACTAAATCCACAAGCGAGGGCCGGGTGTTGGGAGGGAGGTTTGGAACAAGGTGGTGGGAGGATCAGAAAAATGACTGTAGTCCTGAGTCTGGAGAGATGATGGTCGTGGTTACGGAGCAGGCCCGCAGAGGAGGTGAAGGCTGCAGCGGGAGTGTGATGCTGCTGGGTGCCCCGGAGATACCTGGGCTTGAGGGGCAGGGCTAGGTGAGAGCTGCAGTGAAGCTGCGGTTGTGCCATTTACGCAGGGAGCTCAGTAGAGGAAGCCCTACAGGCAGGTGCGGCTCGCCAAGGGAGACAGGCTCATGGAAGTGTTTATGTGGAGCCATTTCTGAATCTGCATAAAGGACGAGACTTAAATTACCCACAGAAGCCGGTGGCAATGCGATCAAAACCCTGAGGAGGAGACAAGCTCTTGCCTGATGCCTATTTGTCAAAATACTCACGGACCCCTTCGTCGCTGAATTGGGGTGGCTGACTTGCTTATTTTCCTGAAAGCTCTAAATTCAAATATGTAGGTTTATGTTTGCCGGTAATTAGCATGATATATCTATTCAGAATGACTGCAGCATCCCTCCCCGGTAATGAAAGTGATTAACTACCGATTAGAGCAAGTATCCAATTTCGTGCAGTTTCCCCTGGTCTGTGCCACAGAACCACTAGCATTCTAATTGTAGACATGACAAGTTCCAGGTAATTATTGTGGAAAGAGCAGTAATATTAAAAATATTGGTTGCCGCTCTTATTACATTTGCTCTAAACGCAACCAAGACTTACTTTGTATCTCAGCTGCCAGTCATGTCATCAGACCATTTCTGTGACTGGTTTGGAACAACTGGTTTTTATTTCCCTTTCTCAGAGCCTATTACAACAGGTCTATTAACAGCTCTGGGCTCCCCATTTTGTAAAGCTTTCATTAAGTGAAACAAGCTAAAAAATCACTAGTAGGTGCCTTTAGCAAAGTAGGGAGGTAATTATCTCATTTACAGATAACTACGTGCATTTCATTTTTCAAAGCACAAAGAGAAAACTAGCTCTAAATGACACTTTCTCGTACTTATTAAATTCACTAGAGAAATATCAAATTAGGAGTTTTCAGTACAAATGCCATCATGAACTCTGACAGCAGCTATCAACAACGGGGACATTTGGGGAAATTTCTTCACGCCTGGAATGGAAATCCAGGAGTTCTGGGAGCTTGAAAAGAGCTTTTTATCATGTTACTTCATTTACCTGGCTGGTTTATCTGCGAGCAAGCCAGGCACAGTTGCACAAGCCTGGTGACCCTGGGCACCCGAGGGAGGCCAGAGCCTCCAAGGGCAGGTGACTTAGCTGGGCAGCAGGAGCACAGAGAGATGGCTAAACACCAGCAGGTGATCTAGCACGTCAGCACAAAGAAGGGTGGGGTCACAGCCACAGAGGGAGACCCAAAAAGGCACAGGGGAGCCTGCTTCAGCAGGGTCTTGAAGGATGAATAGGAGTTCATCAGCTACAGAAAGGGGAGGAAAAGGCACCTCCTGAGAGATAACTTCCAGGAGGCACTGGAGTTTCACAGTGTCCTTAGAATGAGGAGAGACGTTTGGAGGCTCAAAAACTGTACAGTTAAAGCAGCTCACTAAATGGGGGCGGTTTCAGAAAGCCTCTCTACTTGGCCCCACCCCACCCCCGCCTTGTTAAAAATATTTTTTACTGAGTCAGTGTTGGCTTACATCATTGTTTCCATAATAGAAGAGTAGGGTTTCCTCTCCCTCCCCTGCCTTGGTAAGGCCCCTCTGATAACAAAACATGGCCGACTATATAAGCACTCAACACAAAGGAGATGACTAAATAAACCCCTCTATGCACCACCAGTGGGGTCCGCATAAAAAATGCAAATGCTTAGAGCACTGTTTTCAAAACAAGAAGCAATATTGGTCAGGTGCTCTCCAATAGGTAAAATCCCACAGGCCACAGAACACGCCCCCAACATTCTGGGGGTTTTTTCTCTTCCCCCTCCTTCTCTGCATTTTTCAAGTTTTCAAAATTGAACTTTGTGTGTGTGATTAGAAAAACAAAGGAAAAAATAACGTGCACAGGGAACACGCTCTAGGCAGGGCCTGGAATCCAGAAGAAGAGCAGAACATGTGAATCCTGCCTCCCACCATCATATGGCCGGCAACCAAAGCCAGCTTGAAATCTGCCCAAGGGTTCATGAGTTACTGAGTATCTACCTGGTTTCCACCAGCACAAAGATTAAAAATAATTCACCTCACTGGAGCTGAGGTTCCCCGCCACCTTCCATGCTCATCACCATGGGGCCCAGAAGCCTCCGAGGTCGCCATCTTGAAATGCCCTGGTTCCAAGGCAGGCAGATCACTTGCTTGAAATGGGGACTCTCTGAGGTGAGGAACCCCAGCCCCAGGGCCTCAGAGCTCCCCACAATGGTCTAGAGGACAGAGGGGTGGTGCACTGCTGGCCCAGGAGGCATTTTTTGGTTTTCTGTGCTCATCTCAGACCCCTCCACCGTGTTCCTGGCTTTCCTTTTAACATGCTGTATACAGCAGGCAGCCTGCTGCGAGGGAGACCGGGGCTATAAACCCGATTGATGGATATGATCCATCACCATTTTTAGGGTCCGTTGCACAAACTATTTTGACAGTTGAGGCCCATAAATTAACAAGCAAGCCCGATGTGACACAGTGAAGAGGGTGCTGTGGCCGCTTCCATTTAACCACCAGGTGATCGCTCAGAAACTCGGGGTGCAGAAGGTGCAAAGGCTGCCTCCCTCTTTTGTTCCTGCTTAGCTAGAAGATAAATGTCTGAAACTAAGGACCCCGGGCACTCAATAATAAAAACCTTTTAGAGAGGAGAGCCTTGCACTAGTTAAAAGAAACCTGTTCCATTTTTCTGGGGGAAAAAATGGAAGTAAGGTTTCCCAATGGCAGACATCAAGCCCTTTTATTGAAACTAAAAAGTTCGAATCCTCCAGGGAAGAAAAGGCCACAAGAAAAAGGAGAAAGGGAGAAAAGAGAGAAGGAAGGGAGGAAGGGAGGAAACAAGTGGGGCCAGCAGACCCGTGACAGAGGGCAGCGGGAAAAACTGCTGAGAAATTCAAGTGAATGAGCCAGAAACGGTGCACTTGAGAGGCTCCACGCACCTTCTCAGGTGTTAGCAAGACTAATCAGAAAATCCTGGCCGCGGAATCCCGGACGAGCTATTACGGGACTCCACGGCACTGTTTGCTCAAAACAAATCGAGGCAGCAGGTTTTAATCTCTAAAGAGAAGGAAACTCCTATCTGAGTGGGAGGTTTAGATCCTAAAAGGCTTTTCTATATACACACTTCACAGAACACAGCCCCCCAAATGGACTTTTTGTTCACATCAAAGTAATTATTGCCCAAGACAAAGCAGGGCCTAAGAGATGGCCCTTCCTCAAGGGGCCATGAACGAGCGCGTGATTAGAAAGAGCCGCAAGTTAGATCAGAACACCCATTTCATAATTGAGTGAAATGCACTCCTTCTCCTTACGAAAGTAATTCCCTGGGGAAAAAAAAAAATCAAGTGAATTGAATTACCCAGGTACAAATGGTACCCTTTCAGCTGAGCAGACATCACCCCGTATTTCAGTCTGAGCAACTTTTAAATTACTTGGAGAATTCGTGGAATGTTTTTCAGTTTGACAGCTGTCGAGTCCAAAGGCATGCTGCTATGTGGGAAGCCAGCCCTCGGAAGATTTATTTTTTTAATGGATTGGAAATTAAAGGGGCTTCAAAATGCCCTGTAGAGACCCAGCTTGGGGATCGGGCTGGGTTACAAGGAGACTTTTCCTTACAAGTGCTGAGAATTGGGACTGAAAGGGGAGGTGGGAGGCGCTTGGATTGTGTCCACATGAAGCCAAACAAGTGTTTGAAAAGTGAAAGATGCAATCGAGCCGGCGCACTATTTTGTCTACGCAATTCCAGAATACCTGGTTGCTGGGATGGTCTTCCACCAACTCTGAAGTCAAGGACGGAGCCAGAAAGGACCAGAAAAGATGACCCAGTAAAGAAGAGGAAACCAAGGCACAGAATGGGGGAGGGGAGGACTTGCTCCACTTCCTATGACCACCACTCTCACAGGAATCCCCCAAACCACAGACAGGAACCCCAGGTTCGGCATTTTCATGGAGGAGGGGCTGATGGGTTGCCAGATTGAGCAAGTGAAAATCCAGGAGGTTCATTTGAATTCCGATGTACAGTGAAGGGCTTCTTAGTGGATGTCCTCTGCCAGGTCGGGGGCATACACAAAGAAAACATATTGGCTGAGTATCTGAAACTCAATTTAACTGGGCATCCTGGATTTTATGTGGCAGCCCTAAGAGGGGACATTCCTTCGGGACAGGAACAGAAGGTGATGCATCTCCTCCCCATCCTACAGCGACCAGACCATGAGGGACACGCAGTGTCCCCACGCCCCCATGGAGGAATGTCTGGGAGCCAAACTGGCAGATGAAGTCAGTGGACTTAAATGCTGCCTCCAAGATCTTGAGTCTACACGAAGAAGAACCTTCTGGAACTTCTTTAAGGCCCACAAAGCCCAGAGGAAGGTAGGTGCCGTGTGGTAAGAAGTTCTGTGAGCCTAGTGCTTCCTGCAAAGTGGCTCAGTCAGCCTTCCCCATGGTCCCCAAAACAGGCCTCCAGGGTTTACAGTGGGAAGTCTGATTCTGAGAGATGACTGATGAGTGTAGAAACTTCCCAGAGCGGTCAATTCCACAAACAGCAGCAGTAAGTCTCTCTAGAATATCGCCACCCAGGCCAGCCCCTACAGATGAGTCTTAACCTAGTTAATCTTTTCAACAACCCTATAGGATTGGTAGATTGTGTGCCTCCTATCCCAATGTAGAAACAGCAGCACAGAGTAGTTAAGACATTCCCCCGAGTCACACAGCCAGCACTTACCCAGCCGCCCGCGCCGTGATCTCCATCACACAGCCCTGCTGCCATGGCAGCTGTGCCATCCAGAGTTCATACCCATACAGCCATGAAGGACCCCGATTGGAATGCGAAGCCAAGGCAGGCTCCCCCTCAGGCTGCTCCAGCGGGGGCCTGGGGCCAGCCTGCTCCTCCGGCCTGTGCCTGCAACAGCAGAAGGATGCCTGTCGGGAGGTGCTGGGGGAGGCCGGGGTGTGGCATCCTCCGCGCCCTCCACTCTGAAAGGCAGATTTGGTTTGCTATGGCTTTCGACAGAACCGCTATAAATCAGTGTCCACTGGATGGACATTGCCCTTCCATTCCTTTTGCGTCCCCCCTTACAAGAGCTGGAAGAGTAGGTCTTGGCCCCAGGTGGTCGTTCCACCCACTGAGACTTCTGCCTGGTATTTAGAGACGTGGGTTCACCCCAAGGTGAGCTCTCGGTGATAATTCAACACAAAGCAGCAAACACTTCTCGCAGGTCCATGTGCCTAGCCCTCTGCCCAGCCTGGCAGAGAAGACACGGGAGTACCTGGAGGAGTGCCATCTGCATTGGCATAGCTGGGTCTCCCAATAAAACACCATAGAGCAAAGTGTGGTTCTCGGCCTTGGCTTCCGAGAACACGGAGATGGAGTGTTCAACTCTGCAGTCAGATGACCACCGGCTGCCTGCTGCCACCGCCCCTGGTTTCTTCAGGGGGTGGCACTGTGGTCCTGATAGTAATAACTGAACTGACAGATGCTTGCTTGAGAGCTGGTCACCTCAGTGCCCTCCCCAGGCACACCCATGCCTGCCTGACACCCCCTCCCAGAGGGCTAATTGCAGCACGCCCCACAGTCAATGCCCCTGAATGACAGCACCTCGTGCATGAATATTTAGTGGAATATTACTCAGCCGTGAAGAAAGAAGGAAATGCTGTCATTTGCAACACCACGGCTGGCTCTGGAGGGCAGGATGCTAAATGAAATAGGTCAGAGAAAGGCAAATATCATACGCTCTTATATGTGGACTCAACAAAAACCTAACTTGTAGAAACAGGGAACAGATGGGTGTTTGCCAGAGCCAGGGGTATGGGGGGAGGGAGTGGGTGGGGTTGGGCAAAGGTTACAAACTCCCAGTTAAAAGCTGAGAAGTTCAACACCCTCACACCGTGGCACGCTGTCACTGCTAGCACACTGGCTCCTGCATCTGAAAATGGCTGAGAATAGATCTTAGCAGTTCTCATGACGCGTTAACAAAAATTGTAATTACGTGAGTGATGAATGTGAACTAATGTGGTGGTTGTGTCCCAAATCACGATCAAGTCATGTTGCACCCTTTAAAAAGATACAGTGCCACATGTCAGCTACATCTCTGAAAAACCGGGGAAATACTTCTTTTCCTTATAAGGTA